TAACCCCTAAACCTTAGCAAGCCGCTTCAGAGCTTGCCTCTCCCCTTCTGGTTAGGCCTAAGTATCCGCCATCAGGGGCCCAACAACCCCAAACTCAGTGTACCACCTGCTGTCAGTAGTAGCCTTATTGAGGGACCCTTCGCAGTGGCCATAGGTATCTCTCTTGTAGTTTAGTAAGTCCTTAATATAGTCCCTAATAAGCAAACCATGTCATCAAATTATGTCAGACTATTGACTGTACTCATATACCCTAAATCCTAAGCCAGTTATAAGGGATTATGTAGGAAATCTTGACTGTAGTTTATCGGTTACCTGTTGCTCATGTGCAGGGCATCCTTGCCGCAGCTTCACATGCAGGCCGCGCTTTTTTTGGTCTTTTCGAGAAAAGGTTCAGGGTTGAGGGTCGCTACTTTGAGGGACCCTGGAGTTAGGTAGGATCTTCTATCCTCACAATAGCCCCATTATTTCCCAATCGTGTTTTTTAAAAGTAGGTTGCCCAACCCATTAAGATCCCAGGGCCTTGCAAAGTGGGAATGTATGGGCAGTAAAAGGAGAGAATGGAGGTGTCTAAACCCTGAACCGTGACTCCATCCAATTTACCGGGGCTTGTGTTTGTTTCCCAGAGGTTTGAATGGTTATGATGCATGGTTTGAAGTCTAGGTGTGGCTTTGGGGCGGTTCAGGGTTTAGGGTTTGTACTTTTTGTAAAGTTCGTATCATGGCAATTAAGTTGGCATTCGGATCTTTCGTGCTCTCTCTTTCATTTTAATTCCCCTTGCCCACAAGCTTAGCATATAGTCTAGTGACATTTTTTTTGTTGCTTCAGATGCGGGCTCATGGTTCAGTGGTTTCGTACGCTAAGAGTCCAAGTACAGAATAATTAGCCATATACTTCACCAAAAAAGGGCAAAACCCACAAGTATCCTAATGACAAGCACTTGGTGATCGAGCGGGTACGTGGAGAGGGTATTCAAGGGTTTGCACAGTAGAAGATTGGGATCTAGATGGCTACCCACATTGGACCCACATGGTCCGTGGGGTAGCCATGCTAGCGTTGAAAACTGGAAATCAAGCTTTCAATTGGCCAGTTATTTGAACACTATAGCTTACGGCCTGAGCGCTAGAGTCTGAGCACCGAAAACCTAAAGCTTCGCTTGGTATCCCCTCATGCGTTGAAAATACATGAACTCCAGACCTCTTGAGCCAAGGAGACACAAACCCGAACCCTGAAATCTGTTCTCCCTTTCAACTAAAGGACCCAGAAGGCCTCAGACATGAATCATTAGGCCATCAGGCGGTCGACAAGGCCTAAAAGAGCTCTAATCCAATGAATACAGGGGCCTAATTCAGTACTGGCAGTGAGTAAGGCATTGGACCCTGAGTCTCTCAAAACAAAACCACGCCCGCGCAGCCTCAAATAACGGCAGTAGGAGGAGTAGTAGTAGCAGTCGTCGTCATTGTCGTGGTCGTGGTCGCGGTCGTGGTCGTGGTCGTGGTCGTCGTCGTGGTCGTCGTCGTGGTCGTCGTCGTCGTCATCGTCGTCGTCGTCGTCGTCGTCGTGGTCGCGTGGTCGTCGTGGTCGTGGCAATAGCAGTAGCTTAGCAGTAGCAGTGGCAGCAGTTGTAGGAGGAGCAGCAGGAGTAGTTTGAGTAGTAGTAGAAGTAGAAGTAGAAGTAGTAGTAGTAGTAGAAGTAGTAGTAGTAGTAGAAGACCTAGTAGTAGTAGACCTAGTAGTAGTAGTAGTAGTAGTAGTAGTGCTAGGGGAAATCATCCTGGTTGTGGTGGTGAGTGGCGTCGGCGGCGTCGGCAGCGGTGGCGGCGACGGCGGCGGTGGTGGTAGTGGTGGTGGTCGATCCCCTGGACCATCTTCAGCCCCAATGAGGTAGTATGTCTTGTGTTAGACGCTGCACTATGGCTGTTACGTAGTTCCTTTCTGAATTCGTGTTGTTTTTTGCTAAGCAGTTCTCACATTCTACCCGAAATGATCATCGAATAAACCCTGAGAGGCGTGGAAGTGTATCGGCGCGAGTTTGGGTACGGCTTCACTGAGGAGGCCGCGACGAAGTTGCGCGCCAGGGGTGATGTAGGTCCACCACAGTACTGGGCGTTCTATCGTAGCTAACCGAACCCTGAAAATATGTAGAATGATGGTGGCTCTTTTTTGGCAGGTGTTGGGTCATTAGTTTATTATTTCTTCAGGTCCAATTAGGAAATATATGTATACTAGCAACCCAAGTACAACCTGGGGCACTGCAATTGGGGGGCAACACTGGGTCGAAATTCCAGTCATAGGGTGAGAAACTTCCGACAAAAAGGAATCCATTTTTGAGATGCTACAGTGAGGATTGTGAGGATTATAGTATTTTGGGGTCGATATTGGGCCTCCCATGTACGGAAGCTCCTTAGGAATAATTACTACGTTCATTTGGCCTCCAGTAGGGTGCCCCAGCTGGACCTGCTGGGGATCTTGTTGAGACACATGACCACGTAGAGCTGCTGAAGCCGCAATATCCTCCTCATTTTACAGGATGCCAAATTTCGTATCTTGAAGATACCAGGCACAAAATGAGGTAGCCGAAATAGTGGCAGGGTATAAGAGTGTAGGTACTGTAAGCCCTTAACCATAAACCCTACATGCACAGCTCACGGCATTCCGAGCAGCCAGACCAATCAACGACCGATTGTTCATATCGAAGCACTCCAAGATTTTCCTATGGCAGCCGTACTGATGCATTTGTCGTTCCTACACTGTATAAACTTTCAAGTGGCTTTGATCAAGTGAATCACCACACAGCCATTACGTGGAATTACGTGGACATGTTATCTAGATGTATGATGAATACACCGTCACGGTCAGGGGTTTCAACGAAGAAGAAGTCACGGCTCACGTCAACTAGAACAGGCTCATGGTTTAGGGTTCACGCCCTTGGCCCGTGCATCTTATTTCGTTATCCTGCTGCTGCTGCTGCTGCTGCTGCTCCACGTACACGTGACTGCGAGTCATGCCAGTTTCCAGTAACACCTTGTCAAATTTAATTACGAGCGTTGCAGTACCAATCTCGACTAAATCTCCACGGACGGAGGAACTCTTGAAGTCAGTGAGGGCTGAAGAGAATCTTATGACAACCTGAGCGCGGAGAGTACACCGCACCCTAAACACTAAATCCTAAACTTAAGGCCAGTTTGTTGGTAGGTGGCATGGTGGGCTCTCAAGTTTCATGGACGGTCCCATTCAAATATTAGCTGTAGAGACACTAACTCGCTCATGATGCATACTAGCCATGGAGGAGTAGATTCAGTTGAAAAGGGCTATATAGGGACATGGAAAAGAACATTGAAACTTCAAATTAGGGTTTAGGGTTTAGGCTTTGCATATTCCATGCCACTGTCGGCACTGTAGTCACTTCTCTTTTGCGCGGTTCCCTTGTGGAGGAAATGAGTTTCAAGCCATTGATGTGCGGGACATTCAACATCTGGGAAGATGCATCGGTATCCAGGCTTCCTAATAATCTCACCTTTCTTGGAAAAGAGGTAAGGCTAAAGGCAAGATAACCTCAGATAAGCCTCCTAATCCTTACCTCGATACAACTCGAACCGTCAAACTGACAGTCCATCATGTAATGTCGAAGCCTAAATCAGGATTTCCCACCATTGTGGTTCTAGATTCCTTGTATCACTATATGATGTAGCGCCGTATAAGGTACCTCCGAAGGTACCTCAAGCAGACTTCAACATGATACATCAAAAAGTAGTAAAACCCTTATCATACTTTTTGCTTTCGGCCCGCCTACCGCTACGCAAGGAACATCAACATGTGACGGGCACGCTAGGAGTAGAGCGAATAGAAAGTACAACAGCACAGGGTTCGATCAGCATTTGCTGACTGCGCGTGCACGCCGGAACCCCTCTTTCTGTCAGTCCATATACCCAACCCTAAGGGTTCCAGGACCCAAATAATAGGGTTTTAGGGCCAAAATACCATGACAAAAATTGTATTTGGGCCCTAAAACCGATTATTTTGGTCCGTGGACCCTTAGGGGAAATTTTCTGTCAGTCCCTAGACCCTCCATCTACCCTCTATATACTCCAAATAGGGACCATATACCCCCATTTAAAGGGTACAAGGAGGGTCCTGGTCCACATACACAACACAACCCCTTAGGGTATGAGGTCTAGATGGTGCTAAAAACCCAGCTTCGAGTCCTAAGCCCCGACTTAAACCATCCGCCCAAAACCCTAAACCCTGAACCTTTACATTAAGGGTTCAGGGCTTAGGGTTTTGGGTCATAACGTGAACCCTAAACCCCAAACATGAAATCCTCAACCGACCCAAGGGGTTTGATGTGGTTCCTTTTTGGACTTCTTTTCTTCTTGGGCTTAGGGGGATTAAGGGTTAAGTGTGTAGGAGATATCCTACCCCAAGAGGACCTTGGTAAGTCAGACCCTCTCTCAGCCTTTTGTTTTAAGCAAATACTCAATGGGGCATTGTCAGAAAAGCCATCTTGTTGTCAGGGTACCCTGAGAATCTGTGGCGGCCCCTTCACACGAGTAACAGCATTATTTAGGTCTCGCGCGCATTTGCAATAGTAAGAGAACCCTAAACCCTACCCCCTAGACTTCTTAGTGATAACAAATCTGGCCTTCTTCTCTTCATCTGGTTTATGAGGATCCAAGAAAGAACCAATAACTTGGACCACGTCCCGAAGAAACCCTACCCTAAGGGTCCAAGGACCCAACTAGTGTTTTAGGGCCCAAATACCAGATGTTATAGTATATGTGCGCTAAAACCCTATTATTCCAAGGACCCTTACGAGGCAAACTTCGATGACCTTCGTGCCCCCTAATCCTAGAGTACCCAAATATCAGACTTCAAGTCCCAAATGGTATGGTCTGAATGGTTCTTGGGGACGTGAAACGCCATTATTTAGGCTTTAGAGTTTTAGGCAGTTGCGTCTTTCCTACGGGCTCGTTGAACCCTGAAAGAGATGCTTGACGATGCAGGAAGCAAGCGGAATTTCGGAGTGCGTGCCGCGCCGCCGGAAGAACTTGTCTTACCGTGTCAGCCTCGTTCCTTGGATGCAGAGGAAGCGACATACGGTGAGTACTAGAAACCCCGCATGGCCCTAAGTACCTTATACCTTGGGAATTATTGTATATATATATATACCTTGGGAATCGTTAATGGTACTGTACTATACTAATGCCATGCAGGATGTTTAGTATCAACAGTATTTTGTGTCTTAGGACCCCTAATCAACAACTCAAATTGCATTTTGCCGCAGGCTACAGGGCAGGTGGAGGCTAATTACAAGGGGAGGATGCGCGTCGACCAGCCTGAAAAGAATTCGGTTTAGCGGCTAGGCTTTAGGTTTTAGGGGTCTCCCAACTCCTCTGCATCCGCAGCACATGCACTCCAAATATACTTCACTCTTCAGACTGAAAAATTTTGTAGAAGTATAGAAGTCATTTAACTATGTCATATGACTACAGTAGGCTCAGTAGGGTCCTGATTTGAGGCGTTTTGGTTACTAAAGCCCTGCCTCTGTAAATCCAAAACTTCACAGACCCGGGTTAGGGTTTAGGGTTTACAGTCCCCTGAAGTAGATAGAATATGGCATTGGGTAGATTATAATAAGATCCCCATATACCCCATATTCTATCTTCTTAAGGGGGACTATACCCTAAACCCTCAACCCTAATCCCTAAACCCTAAACCCCAATTCTTGGACCCTAATCCCTAAACCCTGAACCCTAGAGCCCATATTCTATCCACCTAAGGGGGACTTTGGGGTTTTGGGGGGAGCCGAAGCCAATGAAATCCTTGGACCGGCCGGGTGCTTGGTGTGTGGCAAAAAGCCAACTTAAAGCCAGGTTATGTCCTACAGTCTCTTATTCTTCCTAGACCCTCCATCTACCCTCTATATACCCCAAATGGGGACCATATACCCGCATTTAAAGGGTACAAGGAGGGTCCTGGTTTACTCCTGGTTTACTGTTATTGAACACGTTTTATCTTGCAACATACCTGCCTAGGTTGCTAAAACCAGATGAGATATAGTCTGAACTGAACTCCGTAAAAGGGGTTCTATAGGGATTATATGGGGGAGTGTTACAAGGGTTGCTAACGGAGATGCTAGGAGTCTAGCCTACAGTTCACCTAAACCTTAAAACCCTAAACACCTAAACTCTAAGCCCCTAAACCCTAAAACCCTAAACCCTAAAACCCTAAACTCTACAACCCCAAACCCTCTAAACCCTAATGTATAGGGTGTGGAAGAATCAGGAGATGGGCCGCTGCTCCCTGACGGAGTCTTGCTGTGCAGCTTAGTAGGGCATAGGTGGAGGTTCATGGGACTTAGTAAGGTTTAGGGATTAGGGTTTAGGGTTTAGGGTTTAGGATTTTAGGGTTCAGGGTTTAGGGATTGCGGATAAGGGTTTAGGATTTAGGGTTTAGGGTTTAGGGTGGGAGGTTTATGGGACTTAGTAGCTATTTATCACTGGGGTTATGGCCAGTTATCACCCTACTTATAATTGGGGTAACCCCTATAAGGTCATTTAGGGGGGGGGTTATACGTAGGGTTATAAGCCCAGTTATGAGTAGTTATTATTTTTCTTGAAGCTCCAAGTAAGTGCTGTCGCATTCCTCGGGTTTTAATGTAGACCCATGATTAGAGGTTATAGAGGGGCTATATTGGGGCTATATAGGGACATTGGAAAAGAAAATGGAAGCTACTATTTAGGGTTTAGGGTTTAGAGGTTAATGTAGACCCATGATTAATAAATCCCGTCCTTCTAAGGGCCTTAATAATGAGGATCCGTATTATCATCCCCACAAAGGGGAGGAGTTTACTAACTAGGGGTCTACATTATACTTTGCGGTCCGGGTTTAAGGATGTAGGATGTAGCTTGAGGATCAGGGTTTGGGTTTTAGATGGCTTTTGCAAACCTCGGGGTCCCCTTTAAAAGTCGTTCTTCAAGAGAAATGAAGTTACATTTTTTGAGATATAGAGGGGGCCCATGCCTTGTTCTGAAATACCCAGGTAAAAGGCAGCACCGAAATGGGATCCGGCATAGGGTTTCAGGCTCAATCTGTTTGTGGGTTATGTTTCGATGTGCCTCTCTCGGTTGAGGGATCAGGATCTTGAATGCAGATACCGAACGCTCTCAAGCTTCGTATTTCCTCCTGTCCCGAGCCTGTTTTCGGGAACGAAGTCATGAAAGGCCCCTCTCGTGTGAGGTGCTGTCATTACTTTTTTTTGGTTTTGGTGTCAGAGGATCCGATACCCTAAGGGTCCAAGGACCCAAATAATAGGGTTTTAGGGCCCAAATATCATTAATGTTACAGTATTTGGGCCCTATACCCTAGTTTTGGTCCTTGGACCCTTATATAGTCCGCTAATATCCTTATATATCCCCCTATATCCCCCGTTTAAGGGACCCTATTGTTTGGATCCGTGGACCCTTTAGGATATGGAGTATGGAGCAGCATAGCAGCAGTCACCTCGAAGGGTCTGTTGTCTGAATTCATGTAAAGTCTCTTCCTTGAGCCCCTAAATAGGGTTTAGGGTTTAGGGGCCTAAACCCTAAACCCTAATGGATATCCAAGGATACTTTTCACATACTTTTTACTGCGCTTATAGTTCAGCCTTGAGCCCCCAAAGTTCCCTAATATGGTTTCATTCGGGCCCAGACATTACTGCGAGGATGAGAGTGCTACGAGTAAAAAGGCTTACAAACCCAAACCTTCACCCTCAACACTAAACCGGAAGCCCTAAACCCTAAACTCCTTAACATCTAGACCATAAGCCCTAAACCTATACCCTAAACCCCCAAACCCCTTAACATCTACACCATAAGCCCTAAACCTTTAAAGCCCCAAAAACCCTTCCCCAGGAGGCCCAAGTCTTGGAAATCCTCGACGACATGGGCCTCGCTTGGCCAGGTGGATGGTTTAGGGTTTAGGGTTTAGGGTTTATGGTTTAGGGTTTAGGGTTTAGGGTTCAGGGTTTAGGGTTTAGGGTTTAGGGTTTAGGGTTTAGGAATTGGAGCTCGGGGGTAGGGCTTGGGGTAGGGAAAGGGTTTGTGTCTAGGGTTTATAGGCTCAAGGTTTTTTGACATGGGCTGTGGGGTTTCGGGTTTGGGGTGTAGGGTCTGGGTTTTATGGTTTGGGGTTCTGGACCTCAGGATGTAAGTTTACTTAGGCCTAATGCAATGCCTTCAATTGGGGAGTTATACTGGCAATCGAAAGCATGTCAAGCCCCCAAAATGGGCCGTAAGCCCTAAAGCCCAGGAATAGGGGGTAGACGTCCTGAGCCCTAAGCCAGGGCATGGTGTTGCAGGAGAGGGTGTTAGGATCAAGGGCTTGCTGCTTACTATAGGGGCCCCGAGATTCCTTGTAGAATTATGGTATAGGGTACCTCAAGTTTTCTTGAACACTTCTTCTCCATTTGCTGCCTTTTGCCCTCTAACTAGTTGACCGACCGACCTGAGTGTAAAACACACTCTGTCTCACCTTAAACGCCAACGACTTTTGTCCGCATTCACCTCAAGTAGACCTCAAGATGATGTTGGCATTTGGAATTACTTGAGCTAAAGTCTAAACTCCGTAAAGGGGGTTATATGGAGGATTCTATAGGGGACGACTATAGGGGTTGTTAAGTGGGATACTAGGAGTGTACGCTATACCTCATTTGGGCCCCATAGTACGCTTAGGCATTTGGGACTCGGCCTAGCTCTGGCGGCGGTCTGACTTTGTGTTGGCCCTATAGGGTTCCTTATGTAATTCCTTTTTTGGGTTTGTTAAGGCTTTGGGGCAGGGAATGGTTTAGCGGCTTTAATACTGGTACATACACATATATGTATATCATACACAGTAAATGTCTAGATATATATATATATACGCACACACACATATAGGTCCATATGTGTATATATATATGTTACACAAGAGGACCTACACAGGATAGTTTACGTTGTCAGGGTGCAGATTACCAGGGACGTTAGGGCATAGGGTTGAAGGATTTAGGGTTCAGGGTTTAGGGTTCCAGGTTTTCGGGTTTAGCGCTTAAGCTTGGAGGGTATTGGCTTTCCCCTAATAGTCACACCCCGACTCCATAATGAGAAATACTACTCCCAGGGAGTCTCCACTTCACGACTACTTCTTGCTACGTTTCAAAGGGATCCCTGTAATGATGAATGGGGTGATCTGAGGTCATTAGGGGGTAATGATAAGGAATCTAAAGGAATTAGGGATGCCCTTGATTTCCGGGCTTTCATTGTGTTGATGACGGTTTTGTCGAGAACTTATCTAAAAGATGAATGCGAGCTGGGTTGTTTCTATATCGATTTTACTTTTTTGTCCGAGGAAATTATCTAAAAGATGAATGCGAGCTTGGTTGTTTCTATTTTGATTTTACTTTTTTGTCCGAGACTGATTTTGTTCTAAGTGATTTGAATTACAATTCAGCTGTTGGTGAAAAGACTGTGACTAGATTACATGTTGAGAGTCCTCGGATTGCACTTAGATTTCAATGGGTGTTGATTAGATGCCAGCTAGATTTCCATTCATGGATATCTGGTTTTAATTAGATTCAAGAAATGGGTTCCAGCTTCATTTAACGAATTTTCAAGTGAGCTTAGTGATTTTTCGTTAAGTGTGATTTTGCATTAGATCTTATTTGCGCTTTAATTGATTATTAGATATGTTCAATGGTTCACTTAGATGTAATTAGATTCCCTCTAGTTCTTTGCAATAAATCCTTCCAACAATGCATACTCCTCCTTTTTAAGTACAGGGTTATTGAGGGATGTTTGTTTCTGTTATCCTTACAATCCGATAAGCGTCCCGGTGAATGTTCCCGAATTTTCAGACTCCCGCATGTAAGCAACGTGAAATTTAAACGCGGATCCCTGCCCGCAGCCCGATCCACCCCAAATGCGAAAATTCCTTGTACCCCAACACCTAGACCTAAACCCTAGACCTTGAAGCCCTAAGCCCTAAACCTTACAACCCTAAACCTTACAACCCTAAACCCTAAACCCTCAACCCTAAGCCTTACAACCCTAAACCCTCAACCCTAAACCCTCAACCCTAAACCTTACAACCCTAAACCCTAAACCTCACAACCCTAAACCCTCAACCCTAAACCCTAAACCCTCAACCCTAAACCTTACAACCCTAAACCCTTATCTGCAAAGCCCTGCCTTGTCGGCCTAAAGATCAAGAGCACACGGAGTTGCTGTTGTGGAACTTGATTGAAGCAAGCCTTTGCCATAGAGGTTGTATAGGAAATGTATTATATATAGAGTTGAGATAGGGATTATTACAGAATTCTATAGGGTATCTATAAGGATTACAACCCTACGGCAGTAGCTACTATAAATCCATGTCATTGTATTTTCACTGCGTTCCTCAAGTCTCTATATACTTCCGATATGGCCCGCGTTTTCATTGCATGTTCTGTTAGCTTCTCCAGGAAAAGGCCCGGGACAGGACGAGATCCACAACAACCCGGGAAAACCCTAAACCCTAAAGCTTTGTGAACCTGAAGCCCGCCACAGTTGCCCAAAATAGGGGGAGCCCTATATGGACCCCAAATGCTGTAAGCCTTATCAAAAACCAACCCACACCAAAAAAAGAATAAAACATAAAGTACGCCAAATTTTGAGAAACCCCACACGTATTTCCACCCAAAACCCCTAAACCCTAAACCCTAAACCACGCCAACCCCCCCAAAAGGTCCAGAGTACAACGAGATCCACAACAACAGCTTGGACTTCGCGGACGCGCTCTTGCAGCAACTTGGAGTGGGAGGACTTCCCCGTGAGCCAGGCGCGAACCTTTGCCATAAAAGGAATGTAGGAAGTTTTAGGGTTTAGGGTTTAGGGTAATATAGGGGTTATGTAAGAATTCTATATTGGGTTTCTATAAGGATTAAAAGGAATGTAGGAGGCATATAGGGGTAATATAGGGGTTATATACTTGGAGGATCATGGGACTTAGTAAGTAAGGTTATAAGTACCCTAATTGGGGTTATAAGTAATTATAGCTACAGTTACCGCGCTTATAACCCTAGTTACTAAGTCCCATGATCCTCCAAGTAAGCATTCTATATGGGGGTTCTATAAGGATTATATAGGACTTTTATATTGGTATACAGAGATATACCTCTAAACCCTAGGCCCTACAATATAGGGCATTAGACAATGGAAGTTTGGGATTTGGGGATTGCAGGTTCGGGGATGCAGGGCTTGGGGTGGAGGGGTGGAGGGTGGAGGGTTTAGGGCTTTAGTCAATGGTTTGAAATTTGTGGATTTGCGATTTAGGATTAGGCTGTTCCCAAGGGGTCCATGTAGCTATGTTAAATTTTCTCGGAACCGAAGAGCCCAAATCACATTGGTCCCCCGAAGCAACCTAGAATCATTGATGCCAAAATCTAACGAAGACCTCTTAATGCTAACTACCCAGAATTTGGGACCCCATAACCCTAGTCGTACGTGACGGTTCTGGGTGAAGCGTCTGGGAAAGTATTCACGTATTGAACCATTAAGCATAGGCTAGGATGAGCTCTTGGTGGATGTAGAGCGTTTGGTTCATCGGGGCGCAGGAGGTGGAGGCATGGGTTGGGGCCTAAGGTTAGGATGTAGGATGGGTTTAGGGTTGGGGCCTACCTGTGGCTCCAAAAACCTACAGATTAGTAGTAAGTACCCTTCAAGTAGTAGGTATAATCCATAAATCTGTAGGTGATTGGGGTTACAGGTAAGGTTAGGATGTAGGATGGGTTTAGGGTTTGGGTGTGGTGTTTGAAGTGTCAGGTCCGGGCTGTAAGAAAAAAAGGGCTTCCGCGAACACGCAAGCAGTGCACCTGGATGTTCACAGATCATTTCAGTGAGCCTCCATTGTCAATATCTCCAAATATGTGTTTTCAAGCATTCCCTAAATCCTAAACCGTACATCCTAAACCCGCAACCTTAAATACCTTAAATCCTAAATCCTAACCCTAAATCCTAAACCCTGAGTCCTAAACCCTAAACCACGTGGCACTGATGTGTAGTTGCTTTTGGGGGTCTTGCGCGTACAGGATCCCAAGTATCACATCTATCTACCCTAGGGATCCTCGAGCCCCAAACCCTGGTTTTGGGTTTAGGGTTTAGATGGGTTAGGGGTGTAAGGTTTAGGGTTTAAGGGCTAAACCCTAAGCCTTGAACCCTAAACTCCTGAACCCCTAAACCCAAAAGCAAGCTCAACTATGAACAGGTGGTTCGTCACCCAGCTACCTCTCGGGCTGCAATGCAAGGCCTTCTTTTGCCCGAAGAGTTTTAGGATTTAGGGTTGAGGGCTTCTGGGGTTTAGGATATGGGGCTGAGGGCTTAGGGTTTCAAGTCTAGTGGGCCTCTTCGGGGCCGAGGGGGGTTACTACATGTAAATTATGGAAACATGCGGGGCATATCAGGACATCTTGGTGTCCCCCAGCCTAGACCTCAGAATTCCAGAACACTATGAAAGTCCCTAGGTATCCACATGCCCCAAACTAGGTAAGAACTAAAAACTTTAAAGCCCCTAAACCCTATATGCCCCCATTATAACTACCCTAAACCCTAAACCCTATTACCCGTATATCCCGTACGTATGGACTTAGGCCAGGGATGGAAGTAGAACTGTTGGCTTAAGAGAGGTTTGCATGAGGCAAGGTCAACGACTTGGGAAGGAGACTTTGGGCTTTAGGGTTTAGGGTTTAGGGTTTAGGGTTCAGGGTTCAGGGTTTAGGGTTTAGGGAATCTAGATATTCCCAAAGGTCGACATGGACCTTTCTTCAGAAGTCCTAAAGGTCGGCCAGCTAATCGCCAAGCAATCTGCACATCATCAGTAGCTGAGCGCTATTACCCATGGACCGCCACGTTGCAGGATATGGAAGCCGCTGGAGCAGACCTGCTCAATCGACTTCAGCGTCTCTGGGTATCATCGCAGCACTGAAACCATTTAGGATTCAGGATTTGGGCTACAGGCTCATTGGCCTAGGGTTTAGGTTTAGGTGTTAGGGTTAGGTGTTAAGTTTTGCGGCTTATGGGCTAGGGTTTAGGGTTTATGTATTCAAGACATCTACAGATGGATAGCTCAAAGGGTCATCTCATAGGGACTCCCATAAGGCCCTGATAGCTGCTAGGAGTGGCGTGGAAGACTATAAGAGACCACCCGCGTGTAAGTTACCCACTCACATAAGGGAATGTAGGGATGATATAGGGATCACGCAGTGAGGTAGGGGTACATTGGGATTGTAGAAGTTTCAAAGGGTGTATATACCGGGCCAATTGTAACCACCTCACCCGAAATGGTGGTTTACCCTAAACCCTAAACCCTAAACCGCGTCCCAATTTTGCTTCATTCGGATTCTGAAGTTCTCGTAACATGGGCCAGGCCAAGGTTCAAAAACGTCCTGCGATTAGTGCAGCATACCACCCATACAGCCCCAACTTTCAACAGGCAGTTGTCTTTGTATGGCTGTTTGTGACGTTTCATGCAGGGTCTTGGGGCTTCATATGGACTTGAAGTCAGGGTTGCAGGGTTTAGGGTTTAGGTGGTCAGTGACCAGAAGGTCATAACTACTTCAGTTACAGTCGTGATAGGGGAAGCAAGCATAGCATCATATTGAAGACGCTGAGCTGTAAACGCTGAAGGGTTTTGTCTTGCAAGCCCCAAACCCTATCCAGATCCTCCTGTGTATTTTCTGGGTAGTGCATTTTAGTCCCTGATTCCTTGACAAACCCTAAACCCTGAACCCTAAACCCCTAAACTCTAAGCCCTAAACCCCTAAACCCTAAGCCCCTAAACCCCAAACCCTTGACAAAACCACAAAATGGTCTACATTGGACCCCTTCGGAAAATATGTCAAAGGCAGACAATTCAGGGCATGTCGACAGTCAGGTTGCCATGGGTACATGAGCTATAGTCTAAGCCCCTTAGAGGTGGTTACGTAGGGTTTAAGGTTTAGGGTGTTGGGTTTAGGGTCCAGGATTTAGGGTCTGAACTCCTTAAAGGGGCTATATAAGGGAGTATCTAGGGATTATTATAGGGATTACTAAGAAGGATAATAGGAGTGGGCTCAGTAGATTTAAATTTTTAAGTTTCAGGGTTTGGAATTTAGTGGTGGATCAAAGTTCACATCGCATTTTCCTCAGGGTTGCAGGCCTGCTGCAGGGAAGTTGCCCTAAACCCTAAACCCCTGAGGCTGTATGCTCTGTAGCCCCTGCCATCCGGTGCTGTACCCAATCCTGATCGCCTGCGCATCCCGCTGTTTGTGGCATGTATGTTTTGCTCCCCCCCCCTCCCCCCCCAAAAAAAGCCGAATGCGTTAGGCCTAACTGGTGTATATCTAGGTTTCTAGGAACAATCTTTGGATATTATGGACCATGATCCCTAAATGTTCGATAGAGGCCATACACCGAATTAAAGGCCCCTTACTCTATCCCGGCTAAGTCTATACATGATACCTACTTTGTGCCCTAAAGTCTAGAATGATGCCTACTTCTGGCTATTTGGATCCCCAACGTCATGATATAGATATTCCCAGTTGGCACGCTACCATGCTTCTCAAAAAGGGAACGCTTATCATTACAGAGGTCGGGGAGGGAATGACCATGGAAACCCACATACCTGGAGCTTGAGGAGCTTCGAGTATATTATAATAAGATCCCCATATATCTTAGGTGGACCCCCCACCCTGTAATGGTGACTATAAGGGATAATAGGTATTATGTTAGGGTCGTCTTATATGGCTAATATACCACTGTTACAGGGTGGGGGGTCCTCCTAAAGTATATCATATTCTATCTACTTAAGGGGGACTATATCTTCATGGAGTTCCATGCAAGTTTTGGGGAGCGTGCCCAGCATTCTGAACATTGCTCTACGCCCAACACCCTAATAAAGGGACTTTGATGGGAACTCCAAGAATATAGTAAGAATATAATAGGAATATACCTACCAGGATCCTTATATTCTATTATATTCCTACTATATTCTTGGGGTTTCCCTCCTTGGGGTTCCCATTAGAACCCCTTTTTTCCTCTGGGAAGTCAACATTCCAACCGCGCCTGGTCTACGCACAGCCTTCTCAGTAGTTCTCCTTCCTCAAAGGCCCTAAGGTAATATTGGGCTTAGAATGAGAGGGGAAGAATTGTTTTAAAGTTTTACTGCAGTATCTAACGGGATTACGGAGTGTAGGGAGGGAGGTGCCCCCATTGCCCTTGAATTTGGAGAATAAACGAGGCTGTTCAAAGGTGCTGTGGAGCTGGGCTATGGTATCTTGGCCGGCATTCTGCTTCTGTTGTTTAGTAATTCGTGGCGGAACAGTTTCAGATACTTCAGATAATAGTGGCTAGATCATTTCCTTCCCAGCCCTTATATCTTTGTTGTCCTTCATTCCCTGCGAACCACTGGGTGAGTTTGGGGTCGGAGGCAGTGAGAAGAGTGTTGCCCGCCTTGCACATTGAGCTTCTGCTTCTGTCGTTGTCGAATCTCAAGCTTTGACAGGTTCGTCTGTTGCTGTCTCTGGGTTTCCGTCCCTGAGGGTCCAAGGACCCAAGTAATTGGGTATTAGGGCCCAAATACTAAATACTATAGTATTTGGGCCTACAACCACATTATTCGGGTCCTTGGACCCTTAGGGAGTTGGTACAGGGGAAGGGATGCATGACGCAGGAGTACACTTCTCAAATGCTTCTCCCAGAGTTTTAGGCCAAGCCCCAAACCCTAAACACTAAATTTACGAAATCTCTCTCAGACCGCCGAGAACCGCCTATCAAGCGCAAATATCTACAAATAGGACCTACGCAGACGCTAATTGAGCTGTAGTCTAAATATCCTAAACCCTAAACCCTCATAGTTCCCTTGAAGGGGTTTAGACTATAGCTGGTCCTAGCTTCTTGGATTGTTTGGTTTAGGGCTTAGAGTGATTTAGGGCTTAGGGTTTGTCTGCTACCAGCGGGCACTCAAGCCGGATTCAGGGTTCGGGCTAAGTCCCAAAATCCTGAATAAGCCCAAAGCCATAAACATTAAAGGGACTTTGAGCCTTAAACCGAAAGCCCGAAGCTCTGCACGCCAGACCATGAGGTCTAAGCCCTGAATCTCAAGCCCCTCAGCAGATCGATTGCTGCAAAAAGGTGTGATGGCTATGCTCACGCAGCCTTTCACAGAGGACTGAACAGTAAAAAGTAGCAACCTGAAAAGTTACTAATATTATGGTCCTAGCTTCCTGGAATACTTGGGGTATAGGGTGCCTCAACGGGGCCTTAAGATGATATTAGTATGTATGCAGACCCCGAAGAAGGAGTTTGAGGCTTTGAGTCCTAGGTTGCGGGCCCACAGTTTGGCGGTAATTCAGGCTTTGTATCATGTGAGCTATACTCTAAACTCCCTAAAAGGGGTTCTAGAAGGGGTTATGAAGGGGGATACGAGGAGTTTAGACTATGGCTCATGCAGGACACGCTCGGACTATAATTATGGCACGCGCACACATCCGGTCATTGCGCGTTATTAGCTAACTTGTTTTCGAGATTGACGCTCTCATTATCAGCATCGCCAAAGCCCAACATCGCACTACTAGTCCTTCAGTCGATGTAGAAGCTTGAATTCGCCTCGTTGCAACCCATATATATACATATATTCATCGCTCAATCTGCACATACCCCATAAACTTGTTCCACGTAGTTGCTTATATTTACTCTGGTGACCTCGTTTCTTAATGCCCTCATTGCTACCCTAAACCCTAAACCCTAACTCTCTATAAGCTTGACGGATTGTCAACAGGATTCCATGGTAGCCTATGTAAAAATATAAAATACCGTACTCCCAAACCCTATTCAAATGTGAATTTCCTACACTAGAATCCTTGTAGAGTGCGCGGTTTGGGGTTCAGGCCCCATGGAAGCCCAATTCCCCCTTTGTTTTCCATGTTCCTTTCCAAACGTGATTCTCCATGATTCTAATTCGAAACTCGAGACTCTTTACGTCCCTGTAACTTGTTGTTTCATGGGACCCTAAACCCTAAACCCCGCACTAATGTAGTTCCCTGCCCACGAGCTCTTAGAAGTTCTGCTCCTTCACGCCATACAGAAGCTTCTGGTCTCTTTCTATGAGATTTCTGCTTTTTTTGGGAGTGCTTACAAGCCAGAACATGGAACACTATCAATGTAATATAGTGATTTCGTGCGTGATATACGGAGTATCTGATTATATGTTAGATGGGGGTTTCCCAAACTTAGGGGTACGTACCTTAGTGGGAGTACCCATAATAATGATTATCGTATTTTGAGATCTATACTGTGTTCCCCTTACTTTGGGAAACTACCACCTAGTAGATCGAAAGACTACCTAGCAGATCTACTTCAGGCTCTGAGCATGGGGCGTCAGATCCTAAGCCCTGATCCCTAAAACCCTAAACCCTAAGCTCTAATCCCTAATGCTTTAAAAGCCCAAACCCTACAACCCCTAGAACCCTAAAACACTAAAGCCAAAAACCTAAACCCTAACACCCTAAACCCCCCAAACCCTAAACCCTAAATCCCTAATTCCCCTTCAAGGAGCCCCCGCAATATGAGCACACCCCACCCCAAAGGTCGCCGATACTTGGAGGGCCAGAGAACTTAATAAGAAGGTAGGGTTTAGGGTTTAGGTTTGGGGGAAGGGGACTTCATGAGTAGGTTGACAGTGGGGGTAACTAGAGTTGCCATATGGGTTATAGGGGTTATTACCCTACATGCCAAGTCCCACTGACCTTCCAACTAGTCCCTAATAGTCTTTATAGGGCGGGATTGGGTTTTGCGGGCTCCTTCAACGGGGGCCCCAAATGAACCCTGTGATTGGACACGAGATGCTGCAGTCTTACTCGAATCCTGGTACCAAACCTAGCCTATTGTATTAGCCACTTGGGGCCTTAGGGTAGCCACCGGAAACTAGCATGGAATCTCAAAACAGCGCCTTTGAAGAAAGGCTATTTGGGGTCCAGGTTCGTTTGGGGGAAGCTAGAGCCCTAAATCCTAGACACACCCACAAGCGATAGCCTTTAGGTTTCAGGGTTTGGGGTTTGGGGCCCTAGAAGGAGTTCTGGGGGAGGGTGAATACGTTGCTGGCGCAGGATCCGGATGGGGATCGCGAATCACAGGCTGCTATGACTTCACGCTTGTTCTGGAGTTAGGGTTGAGGGCTCTATGGGTTACCCCAAGGTTCCAAGAAGCCAATAGTTAGGTACTTGCGTTTTTGGTGGCAGTAACTTTTGCGGTTAAGGATCCAAAGTTAAGTTCCCGCAATAGAGGATCAAACGGAGAATGAAATTCAAACATATTTAAGGTATTATTGGACGAAGAATGAGTTGAGAAAGTACGGGACGCGCATCATGTGGTTGCCCCATCATGGTAACAAACAGCTTGGGGTGGGATCCCTTTTGCAGCATTATGCAACAAATTCATGCGGGGTTTTGAACCAGATGCGCCATAGGGGCACTAGGGATGGATAGAAGTACAGTTGAAAGTTGAAAGGTTGGAAGTAAGGGCCCCCCCTTAGGCTTTGTAGGGTTATTCTAGGAACCCCTGACGGTACATAGAGAGTATAGACTAGGGTTCAAAGGATCCCAGGATTAAAGGCCCATACTAGGGGCCATGGGCCTCAACCGTGGAATACTGAGATTTGGGCATCCCTACTTGAGATCCAGTAGGTTTTGCTTTGAACAGCTTCCATGTTGAAATTGCTGCAAGGCAATCTAGGTGTGACACCTAGCGTAGATTCGAACTTCGTATGAGCACTTAGCTTCAACAAGGCCGTAGTCTTCACAAGGCCGTTTTCGGTTTTCCACTGTTACTCTGAGGAAACCCTAAGCCCCAAACCCTAAACCCTAAAGCTAGGGACACAGGTTCATCCCTAAACCCTAAACCCGAAACCGCGGCTTAGGTTGCAGGAATTTTCAAAATTCTAGGGCCCGGGTATGGGGCTGTTAGCCTTGTTCTTTGAATGAAGACAACCCAATTCTTCGACGCAAAAGATCGTTTCATCTACAGATTAAGGACCCAAATAAGAAGGTTTTAGTCCCCAAATACTATAATGTTAATGGTAAGTATATAAGCCCTAAAGCCCTATTGTTTGGGTCCTTGGACCCTTAGAGGCATGGAGTCTTAAAACTCAAGTTTTTTGGGCCTATGGATGATTTAGGGTTCGGGAGTGGACGTGCCTGATGGACGGGTGAATGGGTTTAGGGTTTAGGGTTTAGGGTGGGTGAATATCGAGATCCATAAGCTCTAAATCTTAAACCCTAAACCCTGATCCCAGGCCTTCATTCCTGAAAATAGGGTCCTGTCACTTCAACATCAGGGTCTTAGCGCTTAGGGTTTAGGATTCAGGGTTTAGGGTTTAGGATTCAGGGTTTAGGGTTTAGTGGTCCAAGTATCCAATAATTCTCTACTTGCCCAAAACACAAAGTACTCAATAGTTTAGGAACTTGGGGTTATAGTACAGGTGTTGTGTTCGCACTGTGTTCGTATATGATTACCAAATCCCAAGTACCCAATGACTGGGTGCTTGGACCCGTTCGGCTATTCATTTTTCAAAGCTTGCTCAGCGCTAAACCCCAAGTCCTAAACCCTAAACCTTCCCTACGGGTTCACTTCTAGCGTTGCCCCTCTGCAGGTTTTCGTGGTGTTGGAGACCCGATTTGCAA